GATCTGTTCTTCTAACAGTTCGTTGTTATGATTTAATGAGTTGTGGATCTTCTCGTTTTGTTGCTGGTTCAGATTTATTAAGTTTTGGATCCTCTCTTTCTGTTGCCGTTTCTGATTGTTTAAGTTTTGGATCTTCTTTTACTCGCGAGGAGAACGGGCAGAGAGTGGGCATCAAAACCAACAGTCTCCACACGTTCTGATGCTTCAAGGCCGCTCTCCTCTTTTTATTTCATTAGGAGGCCCTAGTTACAGAATGATAATTCTCAAGGGGAAGGGGAAACAGCAAAGACATAATAAGAAACTGATGCAGCTATGCATAGTCCAAACACATAAAACATGATTAACAATCAGGAGGTGCCTTAGGTATGGACAGACTCCATGTGTGACAGTGGGAGTTGGCTTCATGTGAGGAATCATCTCGAGGTTCACTAGAGCGATAGGACACTGCACACAGTTGTCAAACACACAGAGGTTTATTCAACAAGTGACAAGTGATTGGTACATTATAAATAAAATAATTCTAGTACATAAATGGTTAACTTATAGGCACAGAATATCACACAAGTATTTAGCAAATATGGGATAATAAAATTATTCTGATTCTGATTTTCTAAGTTTCGGTTCCTCTTGTTTTGTTGCTGAATCTGATTTTCAAAGTTTTGGATCATCTCGTTTTGTTGCTGGTTCTGATTTTCTAAGTTTTGGATCGTCTCGTTTTGTTGCTGGTTCTGATTTTCTAAGTTTGGTTCTCTTGTTTTGTTGCTGATCTGTTTTCAAAGTTTTGGATTCTCGTTTTTTGCTGGTTCTGATTTTCTAAGTTTTGGATCGTCTCGTTTTGTTGCTGGTTCTGATTTTCTAAGTTTCGGTTCCTCTTGTTTTGTTGCTGAATCAGATTTTCAAAGTATTGGATCGTCTCGTTTATTTGCTGCTTCTGAATGTCTATGTATTGGATCCTCTCGTTTTGTTGCTGGTTCTGATTTTCTAAGTTTCGGATCGTCTCGTTTTGTTGCTGGTTCTGAATGTCTATGTATTGGATCCTCTCGTTTTGTTGCTGGTTCTGATTTTTTAAGTTTCGGATCCTCTTGTGCAGTTCCTGGTTCTCAGCCTCTAAGATTTGGCGCTTGACCTTAGGTCGAGAGTTTCTAAAAAAATACCAGGGCATTTTTTCTGTTTAAATATGCAGTAGAGAGAGAGAAAAGCTCTAGTGTAAACGTGCAGTAGTAGCTCTAGTAGCAGTACACGCAGTACACGCAGTAGTCGTAGTACACGCAGTAGAAGTGGCAGTATTCTGTGTCTGTAGGGTCTGTTTCGTGTTGCACTTATAATCTTCTTCAAAGCAGTAAGTTGCTTTGTGCTTTGTGCTTGTCCTTTACTGATGATGTCATAAAGCAGAGCGCTGCTTTGAAGTAGCAGTAGTAAAAGTATTAGTAAAAGTATTCTGTCACTTTAGTGTTTATTTCACTGTGTCACTCAAAGTTTACTTTAAAGCAGCGTCGTGCTTCTCTGATGATGTCATCAAGCAGCGTTCTATCACCATGGAGATCCAGGGCGGCATTAGAACATCACGTTGCTACGGCGACAGCTTCTCAGGCTCCAAAACTATTTTAGATTCTAGAATGTGATGATGTCATCGTCCCAGAGGGGAGCTAAATCATTTTCCCGGTGATTACGATGTACTTTTCCATCTGTATTAATATTAGATGGAAACCATGGCAACAGAGAAGTCGTCTGCTCTTGTGGAAGCTTTCACATGTTAAACGTTTAATGTTGTTTTTTTATAATTAACAAAACTAGTCGATCTCACCTGGGACAGAAGGGGAGGGGCTTAGATCAGAGAGATCAGGAGTCTAACCCACAACCTCCTGGTGAGAGGGAGGAGACAGGACAACCGCCCGACGTCAGAGCGTTTGTGAAAGCAGCGGCTGAAACGTCCCCAACACATTTGCACGACTTCATTGTTTTTTGTTGATTCAAGGAAAGTTACTCAGAAAATACTCAGGTAAAGGGGCGGGGCCTCACTGCTCAGGTAAAGGGGCGGGTAAAGTCTGACCTGTTCATTTTCAGAAAAGTCCTGGTGTTTGACACAAAGAAATACAAATTGAATTCACAAATAATAATAATAACCCAGTTTTGTTTTGTATGTGAACTAGAAGTGCACAGTCTGATCTTTGAACACTGAAGAGTCTCAAAGTGAGTGGTTTTACTGTAGACAGGAAACAGGTGACACAAAGGTCTGCACACAGATCCCGCTTCAGTCTTTGCGATCGGGGATTTAAAGTCTCGTAAGATTCTCCTCGTGTCTGTGGCGTTCGCTTTCTGTCGCACGTTTAAAAATGGTTCCAAATCCTGTAGTGTGTGTCGGCCGTAACTGCTGCTGCGAGCCTCATCGTTCTGCTCTTAAAATGTTCGTATTAATCCGCTCTACGTGATCCCGGGTTTTTCATTTTGCTGTTTTGTGTGTAAATCGATTCCTAAAATGCAGCTCTGAATTCTCCCCTGTAACCGCGGGCGTTGATGAGCTTCATTTGACTGGAGCCGAGCGATTTCTTTACAGTGTGTGGACGTCTAAAGAGGAAAAGGACTCTGGATTTGGGCATTTTCAGTTTGTATTTTGGATTTAGATGTGAGTCATTTATCACTGAAAGACAAACAGACTGTGAGTAAAACACAGTGATAATAATAAAAATGAAATGTGAAGTTTTTGAGGCGCCTATGTTCTATTTTTGTCATAATTACACCAGGGATTCGGTCCTGTTTTAAATTAGTCCTGGTCTTGGTTCAGTCCATATTTTAGTCCTGGTTCAGTTCTGGTTCAGTCCTGGTTTAGTCCTGGTTTAGTCACATCAGGACTTGTCACTTTTTTAGTGCTCTCCTTGTCTCCATCCCTCTTTATCCCTCTTCTCTTCCTCTGTTTTCATCTCTATGTAGCGGGAGGGCATCTGACACACACACACACACACACACACACACACACACACACACACACACACACACACACACACACACACACACACACAACTTCATGTTGAGTTTGGTCTTTTTCTATTTTTATTATTATTATTTTTTATTACATGTTTTTTGTAATACATTTTCAGTGCCTATTTGTGTTTTCACTGCAGTTATTTTATGTGTAATTCTATAAATGTATGTTAACACAACTTAATGAGACATTGTTCACAGCTAAAGAATGTTGAATACCAATTTGGTGGTGAAAAATGTTTTTTTGTGCTAATTTAAAAGCATTTAAAACAGACCGGTCAAGTTTGACAGGGAACATTAAAGTAAGGGGCTGGAGGTGAACACAACAGGAGGGTTAATATACCACTTGGTCCCGTTAGCGTCGCATTACATACATCATGACCAAATAGCAAAGACTAGTTAAATGAAAAAAAAATACCCACCTATCGTTGAGCAAACAAACTCTAATGCTGCAAGGTCAGATGGTTTCTACAAAGTAAAACCGCCTGATGAATCAGGCTAGTAATGTTTGGCATTACAAGAAAAAAATTTTTAATATTTTACTCGGTACAAATGTCAAGCATGCTACAATGCATTTTTAACATGGATTGAAGCGGTGTTTTTTTGTTTTTCTTCATACAAACTCGCTAAAATCACCACAATATCAGCAGCAGTGAGACGCCCGCGCAAAATGCACCACTTCCTTTTCTTTATTGATGGTTATTTGACAATCAGCAATAGTTATTTTGGTGAGAGTAACTTAAAAGTACTGCAGTAGTCATGCAATGTCTTACATTTTAAACACAGTAATTACTTTGAAATGACAGTAACAAGTAACAAATACACACATATTGCAATTTTGAAGTAACCTGCCCAACAGTGCTCTCAAGTGCTGAAGACATCTCCTTTTGAAAATTTGTGTAACATTCAGAACAAAATATATAACTTCTTTTACCTGAGATAAGTCATAGTTTGATGCTTCTGTTGATTCAACAAAAATCTGCTCTGTTTGTCCGTCCTCTATGTAATTTGTTGTTTTGTTTGTTTTGACAGATATGGAGCATGTGTCTCTCTGACTGGTTAATTTGCCTGTCAATCACTCCTCTGAAATCAGGGAGACAGGGAAGGTATTATTAGTTCTAAATTAGTACTTGATTAAGGGTTGAATTAAGGCTTCAAACTGCACAATACTAGTGAGAAAAATATAAAATACAGTTGTGGTGAGTTTGTGCATGCTTTTTCTCTAAATATGTTTTTATTTCCTCTGATTACAGATGGACATAAATGAGCAAGGGCATGGACTGTGGCCATATCAGCTTGTCAGAGCCTGATCTCGTCACATCTCAGAAGCTCAGCAAGGCCGGGCCTGGTTAGTGCTTGGATGGGAGACCACTGGGAATTCCAGGTACAACAGTCGGGCGCCAGTCATTGTGTCCTTAGACAAGACACTTCACCTACATTGCCTTGTAAAAAAGTGAGTGTTGGTGGTGGTCAGAGTTACCGATGGCACAGATTGGCAGCCTTTCTTCCGTCTGCTTTGGGTGTCTTGAAAGGTGCTATATAAATGCAATGCTTAATTAATTAATAAATGAACTGATTCCACCCAATTGACTTCTATTGAAAAAAAAAAAAAATGGTGTCCTGTCTCTGTAACTGCTGCTGTCAGGATCCTCATTTTGGTCTTAAAATGTTTATTAACTCCGTCTACATTATGCTCTTTGTATGTTACAATGTTGTCCATGGATCAAGATTTTAACATCAATAACAGACCAATAAGTTACTGTGCTTGTTGCTAGGCCCCACCCCCTGCCAAACCAACAGTGCAGGCAGGATGTGGGCTCCTGATTGTCTCTTTGTGCATTTAAACTTCCAAATGTGGTCCCTGGTTGCAAACGATCTGCTATAACTGCTAGCCTCAGTTGACTTCATTTGTCTGGAGAAGAACGCTGTGGGTGACGCTACACTCCCCTCAGTCCTATACAGCCTATAATCTAAAAGCGTAGTCCTTCTTCCGAGCACTGCCTACGAGTGGCTTATGACTCATGACTCACAGCAAGAAGGTTCTGGACTGTTGGACGTTTCTTCCATCTAAATCCTCCATCACAGGTCAAATCCTTCACCGAAGACTAGCTCAGTATCGCCCGCTGCTCCAGATGGTTTACCCCAGCATCACAGAAGTTTGTCCTTGTGCAGTACCCTTGTCTGCCTGTAGGTGTCTCTCCTCTGGTTATCCGTGTTCTGGCACTTGCGCTGGTGTTGTGGGGGACCTGTGTGGAGAGCTGGGGGCCGGAGAGTACGTGTGACCAGGTCGCTGTCGCCACCATCAGACAGCGTGATCCACAGAGTCCTGCTGATCAACTGCTGCGTAATGGAGCGCGCGGTGTGAAGAGAGAGAGTAAGCAGCACTCGCACCATGTGAGAGGGAGCGAGAGAGATAACAAATACCAAACAATATTTATCTCGATTATGTTCAAATGTGGTCAGAACAGCTAAAAAGGGCACAAAACCCCCCAAACAACAACAAAAAACAGGATTTATTCATAATTACATCAATGGATCAATGGATCAGTTTTATATAGCACTTTTTTGGACAATCAATCATTTACAGTGCATTATTCATTCACTTCACACTCTGAAATACTATTGTCGTCACAGGTGCCAATCTACACCATTCGCCCATTCCCAGGACAGAAATGAACTTTTCCTGAATAGCTTTAGAAAGAATTTGTGCTGTATCAGAACAAGTATAAGGCCACATATACTAGTAGGCTCAATTCAGATTTTTTTTTTTTAATTAAATCAGATTTTTTTTTTTTGCAAGGTCATCCACATTTCCAATTAAATATGACTTGTATGTGATCTCCAGTGTGAACTTCAAACACCTCAAAAGTGTCCCGCATGCGCATTGGAGAATACGATGATGTCACATGCAGCTCGGTGTTTACAGAAGCTGAATAAACGCTGGGCTCGTCTCCCAAAATACGGCCCAGTTCTTCGTAAAATGGACAGGTTACACGTCCACGGCCACTTTGTTTGTTTGAGTCTTTAGCCTCCTTGTATTTGGCTCGCAGGTTCTTTATTTTTTTGTTGACATTGGAGTCAGGACCGCCTGTAGCCACGCTCGGCACTTCATTTCAATCATCATTTCAAAAACTGCCCGGTTCCAATTAGGGGTGCGCAAAGATATAAAAATATTGATATATCGTATCGTTTAATACAATGGTACATTATCGATATCATGGGCTGCTGTATCAATATATCGCCAATATCGAGTATATTTTACAAAATTATTTTGTTACAGCGTGACAGTTTTGTTCTTTGTTTAGACTAAGGAAACTCGTTTATGCAACACATTTGACATTTTCATATGAACTTTGTACAAGAAGTGGTTTAACAGAGACTTTTAGTATCACAGCCATGATTTAACCTTTATTTTTTTAATTGAACTGTATCTTATCGATTTTAAATATATCGTATTGAATCAAAAACTCACTGTATCGAGACACGTATTGTATCGTGGCCTATGTATCAAGATATGTGATACTCAGCCCTAGTTCCGATAAGACCCCTCCAATTTGGCGTGTACACAGTGATTACCCCAAATATTAGTTCACTCACTAACCTCGCTTTCCCTCCACTGACGAGACTCCGAGCCTGACGTGTAGGTGGGATGAATGCGCTTTGGCCGTTCAGACTGAAATCACATGTCAAAAGATCGGCTATGTATCGGTTTTAGGAGCACATATCCAAGTGGCCTGGGTCGCATTTGAAAATAATCGGATCTGTGTCGTTCGGACTGTCATTAAAAGATCAGATACAGGTCACATAGGGGTGAAAAAATCTGATTTGGGTCACTTCAGGCTGCAGTTGTAGCTGTATACGCCCATGGAGCAATTTCGAACCCACATGGACCACTGAGGGATCACACAGATATAAGACCATATGGGAATAGAAAAGAAAGTACTATGTTTGAATCTTGAAAATCACATTCTATAGACTAAATAAAATATCAGAATGCATATTGAGTATTGAGTCTATTAGTATCTTAGTATCGAAGACCAGTTTGAAATGTTAGTATCTCGACAACACTATAGTGCACCAGAGTTGTTTTGTAATCTAGCGCTCTTGCTGTGGGTGGGCTCGGATCGGAGACAGAGTTCTTAAGCACTCGATAGCTTTAGATAGATTTAAGTGTACTGGCAGCGCTTCCATCTGTCCTGTTTTGTTGGAAGGAGCCGGCACTTTCCAATTAAAACATCTGATAAAGTCGTGACGGTGGTTAGAGCCCCGGTGAGCTGTAAACACGTGTACTGGCTTATCTCAGAGCAGACAGCTCACCGCAAAGAGCACAGTCACAGTCACACAGTTAAGACGGACTAATGGTATCCTGACATTTAACATGAAGACACACAGCCACGGCACCATCTGATTTACACAGGGAAACTTTTAAGTGCTAAAAATACTGTAGATTTCATGCTGGCTGGGATCCAGAACAGACACTTCTTCAATAATTTGTGAAGACGTAAACCTGATCATCGGTGAATCTCCTCGAGTACAGATGGGCGTGACTGACAGGAGAATTAGCCAGTCAGGGACACACACACAAATATGGCTGCTTATGATGAGAAAAGAAAGAAAATATAGCGCAGGGGACTGAAAAACCTTCTGTAAAATCACTGAGCAAACCATATGGAAGTATAGATGTGCCAGAAGTTTTGAATTAGAATATTTCACAATAAATGAAATAACTTGAATAAAAAATAGTTGAACTAGAACATTACATTACTTTTCAGCTTCTTTAATTCAGACTGACAAAATTCAAGTTGAGAAATTCAGGTAAAAAAAAAAGTCAAGTTGAGAAATTCAGATAAAAAAAAAAAAAAGTCAAATTGATTGAATTTATATAGCACCTTTCAAGATACCCAAAGCACTTTACAGTTCATTATTGAGTCACTCCACACTCAGTGGTGGTAAACTACTACTGTAGCCACAGCTGCCCTGGGACAGACTGACAGAAGCAAGGCTGCCAATCTGCACCATCAGCCCCCTCCAACCACCACCATCACTCACACCACTTCCATACTAGGCAATGTGGGTGAAGTGTCTTGCCTAAGGACACAACAACAGTTTTTTGCCACTGGCACTCCCCTTCGGCACCTGGAATTCCTAGCGGTCTCCCATCCAAGTACGACCCAGGCCCAGCCTGCTTAGCTTCTGAGATCTGACAGGATCAGGCTTTGACAAGCTGGTATGGCCATGAAATCATTCAAGCCACCACACATTCTGTTTCTATGAGAATTTGCTAACACCAGGGGGCGCCGTGCTCATAGAGGCCAAAAAACTGAAAACATTCAACATTCTCGCACACCATGAACAACCAAGCAGAAAGTTTTTGTTTTTTTTTAAATAATCCATGTGCCATTTGTTCATTCGATTTTCAAAATAAAACAAAAAATTTTAAAAATTAAAAACAACTATTTTCATCATTTGTCTGCAAAACCAAAATGAAAACAATGGATATATATATATATTTTTTTTCAGTTTTCGTTTTCCTGTTTCTGTGACTTCTGTGACACCGGACTTTTGCGCCGCATCTAAACCAGGACTAAACCAGTCTCAGTCCTGGTCTCAGTCCTGGTCTGGTCCCGGTCTCACTCTTAATCTGAGGTGAGAGAAGTGTCACTTTGGTTGTAAATGATGGTGACCAATGAGCTCCTTTGTTTCACATGTGTCACTGAAATTAATTGCTACTAAACGCTAAAAAGGGAGTGGTGACCAGGCTAATATCCCTCTGTTTAAAAAATAGACATGTAGCTGATATTTTTCCCCTGAATTATCATGTCATTCAAATGTATTACAAACTGCCCCAAGGCCTGTTTTACTGCAAACCTTTGGTGTGTAAAGCAAAAGTCTCCAACCTTTTTCCTCTGGTGAGCTACTTTCACAAAACAAAAATGCCAAAGAGCTACTTATTTTAGCAGTTACAAGAACTTGAGTATATAAAAGAGCCACAGTCTTAGATTTGGAACAGTTAGATGCCTATAAAATATAAACCATTATTCATTTATTAGTGCACAAAACTGGGCATTAAAATGATAGATTTACAATGGTAATTAACCAAATTTTACTTATTCAGCACAATATATTATATATAATTCAGAAATTCTTTGGCAAGCTACTTGGAATGGAGTGAAAAGCCACTGGAAGCTTCTGAAATATTAGGTTTTTTCCTTGTCTTGTCATGATTTACTTCTGTGTCAAATTTCATGATTGTGGTTACACTTTTCTTTTGGTGTTATTCCTATTCCCTAATGCATTTGTCGTGTGTGTTGGCAAAGTTTTGTGACTTTTCGTTATTGTTTATTGGGTGAAAAATGGGCGAGTCGAATAGAAAAAATAATAATAATAAAATTCTGTGCTTTTTTTTAGCTAGCAAACTATACATTTTCGGTCACTGGTCACATTTCACTTCTCAGCCACTAGTAGCATCACTTTCCAATATTAATAGACCCTTTGCCAGCTTCTGACACTCAGGACTAATAAGCAATTAAAGATGAATCAAACATGTACAAATCACTCCAAAAACAAATTTGAGAGGGGAAATGAGAAGGGGAACATCTCTGTTATGATTAAAAGCTCTGAAAAGTACATTTTGCATAATGGTCTGCTTTAATGTAGAGACGGTTTCAGAGGTAATCATGTGGACACTGTTTTTGCAAAGACATTTCGGCTTCCATCCAGAAGCTATTTTACATTTGTTTTCCTGCCCCCAGTGGGAGGAGTTTCAGAGTGAACCTGCCCTGCCTTTGTTTACATGCGAGCTTCATTATGGGGCATTATGGTCCATTTGTTATTTGGCTGACTCACCTTCAGCACTGTTAAGTACCTGATGTGGCTTTAACAATGTGCCAAAGGTTTTGTGCTGCTAATGAGTTAGATCAGCTATTAAATCCAGCTACCCCAGCTGTAATGAAAGCCCCGTCATGCATGTGTCTGTGCTCTTGTAGTGTCATGTGTCCTGTGGTGTTGGCCTGAGCTCTCTCTAACTCCCTCTGCCCCTGTTACTCTGCTTCTGCCTCTTTCAGCTGCACCCGGCTGCCTGCCCTAAAACAAATGTCCCTCCAACTCTCCTAAAGTTACACAGAATAAATTGGAAAAATACTTTTTGACATGTTGAGTAATGCATCAAATCGCATTGGCTTTCCCAGAAGCCGCGCTCTTGTATTTCATCTGCAGCGTCTTCAGGCAAATGGATAGCCTCCATAATGCTCTGTTTATCAGGCTGTGGCTGTGAGCAGACCACTGCTGCACGCACATGCTGCTAATATACTCCTATTCTGTGTATGCATCTGCCACAACAGATGCTATCGCCGTGAACTGGTCACAACTAATGTT